GGTCCTGGTAGGTGGGGCTCCACCCCACACTGGGGAACTGGAATCTCATCTCGCCTGAGACCCAGCTGATGGCACAGCCTTCCTCCTTGTCTCTCACTTTCAGACTAATCTGACACCAAAGCACCCCTTAGCCACTTCTCCTTCAGCAGGTGACTTGTCCTGTTTAACCACAGGTCACCTGTCCCTGGGGCCCAAACTGTTCATTCTCATTAATGGGAAGCCTTGATGTGCCTTTCTGTCCTGTCCCCATGTCCCCTGCTTCCTGTGTCCAGGAACAGTGGAAGCAGAAATGCAGGGGAAGCTATTTGCTGTGTAGGGAGGAGCCCTTCTCCCTAAAGCTTTTTCTGCCCAGGGGGCCTTTCCACCTGCTACTCTCTGACTGCCGTCCCTTACCCACTCTTGCATCAGCTACTTTAGCTGGAGTATTCAGTAACCTGATTTCAATTCAGCAGATCCCTACTGAGCAGTTATTCTGCAAAAGATACAGTCAGCCTGTGACTCGAATCCTCTTTTAATTTCACATTTGCTGCATCAGGCACACATTGTCTATCGTATATGAACAGAAACATTCTTTTTTTTCCCTCTTGTAAATTCCTGGTTGCTGCTGCTGCTGCTGATTTCTTCTTACCCATACCGGGTTTCCTCCATAATGGAGAGGTGAGATTCAGGGTATAAAACAGAGACCCCTGGAGTCTAATTGGGAAAATACACACTGGGAGAAATGAAATGATAGAGACTAACAGCAGTTCATGGCAAAAAAGAAACCCAAGGGTTTTCATGGGCCAACTACAACACTTGATTTGGTCAACAAATGGTCAGTAATTGTCTACCCTGTGACAAAAAAGTGTCCCAGAAAATGAAGTACAAAATTGATGATATTTGGCCCTGCTCCTGAGGAGGTCACAATCACATTGGGGACAATTTTGTATCAGATGACCAAAGTGTCTTGTGACACCTGGAGTGGGGTGAGAGAAGACACTCAGGCATCCAAGTCAGTCTGGGGCAAGCCCAGGAAAGGTTTTACCAAAGAGGGGATGGTTGGGTGGGATCTTGAAGTATGAATAGGAGTTTGGAGAGTAGGTAAGGAAGAATGGAGATTCCTAGGAAGAGGGAGTGGCATGGATAAAGAATCAGTCCTAGGCATGTGAAAAACAAGGCCTGTTCAGAGATTAACAAGGCTTCCACTCTTCCTGGAGGAGAGGGGAAGTAAGTAGTGGCAAGAGGCACAATCTGGAAGCGGGGCTGGTGTGCTGGGGATGTGGAAGTGTGTGGAGGGAGAAGACAGCTAAGCCAGGAACCTTGCAAACAGCAACCTCGCAAAGGTTGGAGGTGAAGTGGGAATTGGGGCGGGAGTGGTGGGCAGAAAGAATCATTTCCAGCGAAGGAAGAGAACTTGGGGCAGCAGGTGAGTTGCAGGGCGAGCCACGCAAAATCTGAGGCCCTGGAGGGACAATCAAGTTTGGTCCGGGTCATCAGTATTGCATGGGGCAGCTTGAGAGCCGGGCCCTTTGATTTCTCTGTTGTTCATATACTTTTTTGTTGTTGTTATTGCTCATATATATCTTTTAAGTCCTAAATTTCCCCAAAACTGTCCATTTAGCGGGTCTGTGGCAAGTCATGTTGACAGGAATGAAGTCTCTGCACAAAGTAGGTGGTGAATAATTGTAGGCTCGTGATCATTTGCTGCTACCATTCCCATCCACACTGGCATCTTAGTTTTATTTCCTCACTCTCCCACAGACGGGCAGGGTTTTGAAATTGTAAATTGGATCTTGGCACATTTCTGCTTAAAAATCCTTCCCGAGAAAGGCAGAACCGATGCGGGGCTCCACGTGGCCTGGCCCCACCTTCTTCCTGGCCTTCTAGGCCTGGCAACCCTGGCTTCCTCCTAAGTCTGGAGGAAGTCAGACTCCCCACAGAGCCTCAGGTGCACACCCTTCCTCCCTGCCGCATCTCTCTGATTTCTGCCTATCTTCAGTTCCCACCTCAATGTCCCTTCCTCCGGGAAGCCTTCCAGGGAGCCTCCTCCTACCCTGCCCTTCATAGCACTTGAGTCTTCCCACTTTCCATAGGAAATTATCACACTCGTAAGCAAGTGTTCAGGTAACTTTATGGATATTTTCGTGTCCCCCTGCCGTCCTGCCACCACTGAGTCCCCCATAGATCTGTGTTGATGCATATTTGACCACCCAACAGCTCAGCCGGCCCCATTTTCTCCTCTGCCTCCTGGCTGGCCTCTTTGCCATCATCCATGTCCACCTGGCTCCCAAAGTTCTGCTAATGCTCCTGCCTCCTCTGTGAGCCTCCCTGAATGCTTCTAGCCCCTGGAGTATTTACTAGACTGCACAGATCACTCTGCATCCTTGTTAGGTTGCGTGCATCTTTTTAGGGCTTTGGAGGCTTAGAAATCTTAGTCTGGCAAAACAAAGCAAAATACTTTCCTGGCTCCTGGAAATTCCCTCACTAGTACAGTGAGTGCAGTTACAGCACCTAACCCTAGATCCTTTTGGTCACACACACAAGGCCCTGTGCTCAGAAGGGCCCCACCATGGGTTTAATGCTCTGCTGTTGCCGTCTTGAAATTCTTGATAGCATTTGAATAAGGGCCCCATGTTATCAACACACCCTGGGCCGCGCATTATGTGTAGCTGCTCCCATACCTGCCTCGAGGGGCGTTGTGAGGAGCCACAGGAGGATGTGTGACACCTGCAGTCCCAGGGCTGGCACCTGGTGATGCTCTCAGCAGGGTCACCTGTCATCATTTCAGTTCTGCTCAACCACAACCACAGTCGATAATTCACTCTTCTGTTTGCTCAGCTTCATTGACTAAGTGCTGTGGTCAGAGACATTGATGAACTGCTGAAAACCCTTCTACAGCTGCTCCTCGCCCTCGCAGGGTTCCCAGGCCTGGCCAGCCTTCAGATTCACCGCTGGAGCTTGTTCAAAGTAGATTTCTGGGCTGCACCCAGCCAGGCCTATGGGATCGGACTCCCCAGGGTCAGGGCCTGTGAGTCCGTGTCGTAGCAAGTTCCCAGGTGACTGACGCCTTCCTTAATGCCATGACGGGAGTTTAGGAACCTCCATCCTAGGAGTTTGAACCCAAGCCTCTTGCAATGGTGTTTGGCGCCCTTTCCATCTGGCCCTGGCTGCATTTCTAGCTCCGCTTCTGACGTGTGCCCTAACCCTATGGGGAAGTGCTGGCTCTCTCGGACTCCCCGGTGGGTGCCTTTCACTCCCGTAACACCCTGAGGGGTCCTGAAGCCCCATTCCCTTTAGCAGAATATATTGTTCCTTCTTTTCATGTTTACCAGCACTCAGTTTTTCTTGTTCCCCGAGCACATGTCACGTTGCACTGTGATTTGTTTCTGCACCTTTATTCCCTGCAACCTGAGCTGAGGGAGCTCACCTCTGTACCCTTAGTTAGCAGCAGTAACAAAGAATATTCAGGTTCCCTCCATGCAAGCCAGTGCACCCAGTGGACACGTTTACTGTGCATGTATCTGCTGGTTCCCCGAAGCCCCGAGCATACAGTTGGTGCTTGGTTCAGCCTGGCTGGGCCATGGCTGAGTGTCCGCCATGAGCTCTCACTGTGCGACTGGCAGACCCAATGCCTTCACAGCCCTTGGTGGTCACCTTGCCCCTGGAAGGGTCGTTCCGCTTCCAGCTCAATCCTGGACCTGTGGGAAGATCCCCTCTCTGGAGAGCCTTTCCTCCCAGGACCCTTTTTTTTTTTTTTTTTTTTTTGAGACAGAGTTTTGCTCTGTTGCCCAGGCTCGAGTGCAATGGCATGATCTCAGCTCACTGCAACCTCTGCCTCACAGGTTCAAGCGATTCTCCTGCCTCAGCTTCCAGAGTAGCTGGGATTAGTAGAGACAAGGTTTCACCATGTTGGCCAGGCTGGTGCCAAACCCCTCCCAACCTCAGGTGATCTACCCGCCTCGGCCTCCCGGAGTGCTGGAATTACAGGCGTGAGCCACCGCGCCCGGCCCTCCCAGGAGTGTCTATGCACAGTAGTCATTCTAGAAGGTCACACATGTGCTGTGTGAAAAAGGCACCCAGTGACTGATGGCTTACTTTATGCGATAAGCGTTCCCTCCACCAGTCTCTTCCTTTTCGGAAGTGTCGGGTGTGGCCACAGGTTAGGCTCTGAGCTATTGCAGCACAGCCTCCAGTCATCCCACCAAGAGGTTTTGTTCTTGTTTTTTCCCCCGGACCTGTTGGGTTTTAAATATTTTCCTATTCGTTTAATTTTTCTTTTCAGCATTCACTACAGGCAGCTGGTGACCATGCCAAATGGATTGTTTACTTTTGACTAAATGCTCACTTAGGCTGTGTGTTCTTTGTAAGCTTTAATGGCTCACGCCTGAGCCATCAAAGACCGTGCTGTGTCTGTCTGGAAGGTGCTTTCCTGAGCACCTACTGTGTGCGCTGCCTGAGGGGGAACACACAGACACAGCAGTTGAGAGCGATGTGCCATTCTGATTTTCAGAGGTCGTTAGTCTCCTGAACTCATATGGCAGTAGTAATCCCCAACACCTTTATTTACAAAGGGCTTCATGTGCAGTGATCCTCAGCAGCCCTGCGGTGTAGGAATGGAAGCATTTGCATGGCTCCTGGAATAAACCAAGGCTGGTGTTCAGCTCCTGGGTGTTACGGTCCCACTGGTGCATTTTGCCCAGTGGGCAGAGATCTGGATCAAACCGCCACCCCACAGAGTGTCTTGGGCCTGCTATAAGGCTTGGGACACACTTTCTTCCTCTTGGATGTCCTTTCTAGTATGGGGGAAAAAAGGTGGCTGTGATGTCTAGAAACTTTCAAATTCCTTGAGAGGACTTGAGCCCAGTGGAGGAGTCACGCTTGATTGAGAAGGAGGCGCTGGCCAGAGCCACCATCTCTGCCCGCTGCTCTGTGCTGCATTTCAGCTGTTGATGGTGTCAGTGCTTCCTGAGTCTTGCGGAATGCTCCTGTAACCTCCTTTCTCTCCTCCTTCTGTTCCTCAGGCACATCTCTCTAACACTTCCTGCCACCTTCCGAGGCAGGAACAGCACCCGGACGGACTACGAGTACCAGCACTCCAATTTGTATGCCATATCAGGTACGTGGAGCCACTGTGCAGGCCAGCTACGGAGTCTGCGTCCCGGGCACCACCTCCTTCCACACATTCTCTGCCTTCTCATGGGATCTGTCTGCCTTACCTCTCTTTTCTTCCCTGCAAGAGGCCTGTTCCCTGCAGGGACCAGGCCTTCCCTTTCCTTTGTGTCGCCTCGGAACTTAGAGAAGGGCCAAATACTCAGCATGTTTTGAAACTAATGATGAAAAACAATGTGTGGATTTCACAGACTTGAAGGGAGGTTTCCAGAGAATACTCGCCACATTGTTCACCTGCCAGACCCCGGCAGGCTTCCCACGAGGCCTTGAGAGCAGCGCCAAGCTGAGCCCTGGTCGGCTCACCCTCCCATATCCAAGTCTGTCCTCACCTCTCATTTCTCACAGCCAGGTTTGTGGCCAGCGGGTACACTGGCGGTCTCCCCTCACACCCCTGGAGCATGAGTCTGTGGTTTCTGAACTCGGCCTTGAAATTGATAGTGTTACCTTGGCGGGAACTTCATCAGTCCTAGTTTTCCTTTTCACCTTCACCCAGGGAGGGGAAAACTTACAAGCCTTATTACAGAATTGAGATTCATTAGGTGCTTGGCAGCACAGGTGACTTGCTAAGAGCCAAGGAAACCCACAAACTCGCCTCCGATTATCCTGGGCCGCCAGTCAGGGGTGTTTGTATGTAAGGGGAAAGTGGCAAATCGGTGCCACTTACCAGCACACACCCTTAATGGTGAGTGACATTTTGAACACAGGAACATGGCATTCATTCATGTACCATAATGAATCGGTTATTTAAAAGGTAATCTTTTTTCTAAAAATTGCAACTACAGGTTACTAAATAGATGAAATAGAACAATGGCATAATTCTTGTCAGTATTAGTTTTTCTCGTTATGATCACTCCCTAATAGGTTTGGAAGTATAAGCAAAAGCCAGTTGTTCCATTTCTGGGTGACGTTCCTGCTGGGAAGGGGAGGAACAGGGATGTTCTTAAGCCCCCGTCCCTGGCTCCACTCCAGGAGCCAGGCTCTCCAAGGGGAGAGCGAACGTGTTTGTCTAAGAACAGCATCTCCAGGGAGAATTTCTTTTGTGCTGTGGCTATTTCAGCAGAGTCGACAAGGAGCATAACAAGTGTGGAAAGATGACCTATTTTGTAGAAAAGCTGAATATTTCCCCAGATGCTTAGTGGCATAGAGGTGCAGAACAGGCCTGTGGAATCCAGCAGGGCGCCCCCATTCAGAATGCACACAAGGGAAGCTCCATCAAAACGGATGACTTTTTTTCTGCAGCTCGCAAATCTTTTTCCAGCCACAGCGTTCGGCTACACCCACTTTACCTGTGTTCTCTGATGGCTTTCCCAGCTGTTGGCGTTTCTGCAGGAAAGAGCCACGGAGTGAAATCTCCTATGGTTTGGCAGGAACACTGCTGTCTGCCTCTGGACCGCTGCTTCCTCGCCCTGCAGCTTTGATGAGGTGTTGTCTGGGTTCATTTCAGCTGTTAGTTTAGCAATACCAAGGTAACAGCCTCAAGACACAGGGGAAGCCATTCAGAAACTTCCTGTTACATTTATGTAAGTGGCAGTCAATTGGATTTTATCTTCCAAACAGAGGTAGTTGAGGCTACAGCCCCCGGCAGCAGGCAGTTTCAGGCCTCCTCAGCGGCTGCAAGCACCAAATTGCTCTGCCAGGGTCTAGGACCGCTTCGTTGTGTTGCTGCCAGAAATACCCTGCAGGACCTGCTGGCTCCATAAGGCCTGCAAGCTCAGCACTGGGCAACTATGGTGCAACTGGGAAGCCTGCCCGCCCAGCCACTGGCAGCCTGCCTGCGAGTCGTTCTGGCTGGGAGGGAGCAGAGACCACCCCCGTCACCCCCATATGAATGGTATTTGGCACCGAGTGGCCTATCTCAGTTTGGTATTGTGAAGTTAGGGTTTCCACTGGTTTCTTCCAAAAACAGTTAAGGCAAAGTGTGCCCCAGACCCTAGCCCTTGCCCAGTACCGATGCCTTGATAGCTGGAGTTCTGCTGATAATGAAATGAATCATCAGACCGTTCTGCCTCTGAACTGGCCCTGGCACAGGTTCACTGCAGACTTCAGGAGCTGAGCCTTTGGTGCAGACTCCTGGCATGCCCTGTGTCCCTCCTGAAGACATTCGATTACTGCTCCCTTAGTGTTCCGTCCCTTCCTAAGAGAAGTAGATTTCAAAACAGTGTAATTAGAAATTTGAAAAACAGCCCACACTTAACGTGTATGTATGGTTGTTAAAGTATATTAACTTTTAAATGTTCGCTCAGTGGTATACCTGCTAGTAGATCCCTTTTCCTGTATCTTTCACTAAGACAGTTGCTCCCACCATGCCTGCTAAGGGTGAGACATGGCGCATAGTTGCAAGAGACACCAGTGGAGACGATATGTAGACCCATCCCTGGCACACAGCAGTGCTCATGATGTGGTCATGGAAGGAAGGAAGAGATGAAGGAAAGCATTTAGCCCCCTGTCTGCCTTGCACAGGAGTACCCTCCCAGACCCCTGGGCCAGGTAGCCATCCTGATTTGCTGCTTGAATGCCTGCGGTGTCTGGGACCACCACCTCCTACCAGCCCACCCATCCCTGTGAGATGCTTCCTCGTTAAGATGGGCTCTGTCTTCCTGTTGTTTCACATCCACCCAGCGATTTGAGATACTGCGCATTCTGCCGGCCAAAATCTGCCAGGTGTTCTACACAGTCCAGTCATATCTCTTTCCTGACCACAGAAGTGGGATGAGGAGCTCTTTCTAACTCAGTCCTGAAATCCTGAGATACTTGTGGCCTGCGCTCTGCTCTCTTGTACCCTAATCCAAACGGCCACGAAGCCAGCATCCATCCTCACACTTGTCCTAGCAGTATCTCCTAGAAAATACAGATGTGCAAAAAGATTTATCCACTAGGATAAGCACTGCCACTTCTCAAAAATAATACTTCAAGACAGGGGCGAGAGGTGGATAGATCTTAAATGCCCCAAACAAAGACGAATGCTTAAATTACAAAACAACCGTACGGTAGCCTTAACTTTTCAGCCATCCAGAAGTGATGACTTAGATTAAAAGATATATATGAATATTGTTAAGTGGAAAGAAAAACAGGTAACAAGTCAGAATGTGTAGTGTGATCTCATTTTAAAAATTACATCTAAGCTGGGAGTGGTGGTCCATGCCTGTAGTCCCAGCTACTCGGGAGACTTAGGAGGGAAAATCCCTTGAGGCCAGGAGTTTGAGGCTGTAATGCGCTATTATGATGGCCTTTGGAAATAGCTGTGCACTCCTGCCTGAGGAACATGGATCTTGTCTCTTAAAAAAATTAATTAATTTTTTTTTTTTTTTTTTTTTTTTTTTGAGACGGAGTCTCGCTCTGCCGCCCAGGCTGGAGTGCAATGGCCGGATCTCAGCTCACTGCAAGCTCCGCCTCCCGGGTTCACGCCATTCTCCTGCCTCAGCCTCCCGAGTAGCTGGGACTACAGGCGCCCGCCACCCACGCCCGGCTAGTTTTTTGTATTTTTTAGTAGAGACGGGGTTTCACCGTGTTAGCCAGGATGGTCTCGATCTCCTGACCTCGTGATCTGCCTGTCTCGGCCTCCCAAAGTGCTGGGATTACAGGCTTGAGCCACCGCGCCCGGCCTAATTAATTTTTTTAAATTAACAAAAAATACATCTAAAGGTCTGGAAAGGTCCACGCCTAAGTGTTTATAGTGATTTTCTTGGGACTTTCCTCTTTTTTTGGCCTCTTTGCAGTTACTCATTTTCCATAATAGCATGTGTTGCTTTTACAGTAAGAAAAAATATAGACCTGATGTGAGCATGTCATGTTCTTGGTAAACCCTGCTGGCCTGCAGGATCACCATTTTCTCCTGAGCGCTCACGAGCCGCCTCTGACTCATAATATGCTTTCAAAGTTTACTGCAGATCATTTCCAGACCACAGATCAATAATTTTCTTATTGTCCCTTTTAGAAAATATGATTTTTTTTTTTCCCTGTTATCCAGTCCCCTGAAATCACCTGTTCACTCGAGTTCCTCAGAGATCACTGTCTGTAATTCCAGCACCATCCTTTACATCCTGCTGTCCCTCTGGATGTGGACTGGGCAGGCAAGCAGTGGGCTGCTCCAGCCACCTCCCTGCCTTCCTTGCTCTTCACGTTCCCCATCACTGTGTCGCTCTGTAGGGTTTGAAGATGGTTTTCCCTAAAAAGATAAAATGATGGTCGCTTGGCTTGGCTCACTCTGTTATCCATCTGGATTAGGGTTGGCAAACTAAAGCCTATGGCCCAATCCCATCCACAGCCTGTTTTGTATGACCTGCAAGCCAAGGATGGTTTTAATATTTTTAAATAGTTGGACAAAAATAAAAAGAGTAATATTTAGGGACATGTGAAAATTATATGAAAAACTTTAATGTTTGTAAATAAAGTTTTATTGCAACACAGCCATGCCCAGTCCTTGACAAACGGTCCTTAGCTGCTTCACATTCCAATGGCAGAGTTAGGTGTGTGCAGCCAGCACCGGATGGCCCACACATCCTAAATATTTACTCTCTGGCCCTTTACAGAAAACATTTGCCAACCCCGGTTAGGGTCATCACTCCTAAGCCATGGGTGCTATGCATCCTCTTTCTTGCTCTAAACAAAATATTTAAAAACAATCTTTTTTGATGTTTCTTACCTTGCTGACTGTAGCTTTCCTGGTGCTGGTCTCACTGGTGTGACCCCTGTAGCTTTGTGCTTTTGATTTTTTGAGCATGCCTTTAAGATCTTACGTCTTCGGAGAGACCTCTTCCGGGTCATGTGGATTTCTCTAAGTTCTACTCCAGTCCCAACCCTGGGATTTCCTGGTCAGGACTCTTAGTGGCTGTTAGTTTTCTTAAGAACATCTTATCTTTCCTGAAAAGTCTTCTATTTTAGTCCCAAATGGTGCCACCCTACCTTTCTTTTCTTTGAATTTTTTATATGTTTAGATGTCTGCCCATT